TACCATTATATTTTGCACTTAAATTTAAAGTAAAGCTATTCTTATTTCTTAATTGTGTTTATCTTCTATGGAGGTTGATAGGAAGGTACCATAGTAAATAAAGAGACGTACATAAGGTACCATAGTGAAGGCAAGAAGACTAAGGACTGTTATATAAGGATAGGTTTACATCAAGGCTCGATATTGAATCCTTGTTTAGTATATATAGTCTTGGGTATGTTCAGGGATATAGAAGGTTTTATTTAAATTTAAATGCATGCATTTTGCAGATGACATCTCTTGATCAAGGATACAAGAAAAAAAAAATTCTAAACTTGAATTTGGGGACAGATTGAAATCAATGTTTTTTTTTTATGAAGAAGAAAAAAATGAAAAATGTAATACGACAAGTTTCTATGTTTTAGTATATGAGATCAATATTACATAATGATAGAGAAATACATGAATACAGTTAAAAGTTGGGTGGTTAAAATGGAGAAAGACATCAGGAATTATTTGTGATTCTAAAGTACATATCAAACTAAAATTTTTTATCTTACTGCTACATGATCTGACTATACACTATGGTAGTAAATGTTAGGCTTTGAAGGTGCAAGAGAAAAAAATTGGATTAGCATAATTGAGTGTATTAAGATGGATGTACGGCTACACAAGAAAAGACAGAATACATAATTATTGTATATAAAGATATTGGTGTCATACCTATCAAGAAAAAGTTTATAGAAATTAGAAAATAAGGTAATCTGGATAGATGCAAAGAAGGCCATTCATTGGAGGCAACTGTGTGAGTAAATTGGATAGGTTTTAGCCATTTGGAAAGAAGCAGAGGAGGAAAGAAGGGTATTGAAAGAAATATTCCGTGACATGCCCGTTGTTCTTTTTTTCAACCAATTCCTCATTTACATCCTGTATTTTCACTTAGGTAATCTTGGTATTATTTTTGGATGAAACAGGGAATCCTGAAGGTTTGGGCACTGAGCTATTGGAAACCCTAGTAAAGATGGCTCCAACTAAAGAGGAAGAGATAAAGCTTAAAAACTATGATGGTGATCTCTCAAAACTGGGATCTGCAGAAAGGTTTCTTAAAACAGTGCTTGATATCCCTTTTGCCTTTAAAAGAGTTGAAGCTATGCTATATAGAGCCAACTTTGATGCAGAAGTTAACTACCTTAGAAAGTCTTTTCAAACCATGGAGGTCTAGCTTCTATCCCTCGTTATCTTTTGTTTTTGTACAAATTACATATTATCATTGATTTCTTGATCTCTTACAGGAAACTGACCTTTCAGTTGTTAATATCTTTCAGGCTGCAAGTGATGAATTAAAGAACAGCCGCTTATTCCTCAAACTCCTTGAAGCTGTTCTAAGGACAGGAAACAGAATGAATGTTGGCACCAATCGAGGGGATGCTAAAGCTTTCAAACTGGAGACACTCCTAAAACTTGTAGATATAAAGGGAACGGATGGAAAGACGACATTGCTCCACTTTGTGGTCCAAGAGATTATTAGATCTGAAGGTGCAGAAGCTGAATCTGCAAACGAGAATGTGAAAATGGATTCCAAATTTAATGAGGATGAGTTTAAGAAGCAAGGATTGCAGGTTGTGGCAGGGCTCAGTAGAGATCTTAGTAATGTAAAAAAAGCAGCAGGAATGGATTCAGATGTCTTGAGCAGCTATCTTTCGAAGCTTGAAACGGGGCTTGATAAAGTGCGATTGGTTTTGCAATATGAAAAGCCAGATTTGCATGGTAATTTCTTTAAATCCACAAAGCTATTTCTGAAATATGCTGAAGATGAAATTATTAGGATTAAAGCGGATGAGAGAAAAGCCTTGTATCTTGTAAAAGAAGTTACGCAATACTTTCATGGGAATGCAGCGAAGGAAGAAGCCCACCCTCTTAGAATTTTCATGATTGTAAGAGACTTTCTGAATATTTTGGATCTAGTGTGCAAAGAAGTGGAAAAAATGCATGATAGAATTGTTGGTGGTTCTGGCAGATCCTTCCGAATAGCACCAAATGCATCATTACCTGTTCTCAATAGGTACAACCATCCAAAGCAGGATAGAAGCTCAGACGAGGAGAGTTCATCCCCCTAGTGTTGTGAATACGAAAGAAACCATAGTCTTTCAGAATAACAGTAAAAGTAAATGAATGTTTTACAAATTTAAGTTGGTAGCCAGCTTTCCAGGATTGGATTCATTGGGTTTAATGCCACTTCAGTAGTAATGGTGGTGAAAGACACCTTCCTTGAGACGGAACATCAAAACACTCAACCCAAAATGCATGGTGAGGGTGGGGATAAGAAAAAAGTGAACTAGCTGTTGAACGGAGTTCCCGGTATACAGGAATGGGCTGCAAATTTTCATAGCATCTTCATCCTGCTTCATATGAGGAATAAATAAAATTTTAAACGTGAGGTGCTGTGAATGCGTCATTTTGTTTCTTCTCCGATACATATTCTATAGTCAAAATAGATTTTATTAGGTCAAGAGTTCCACACAATTGTCATATTGTGGAACGTTTCGATTTTACATGAGAAGCTCCTATATGTATTTTTTAAATCAATTATCAATAATAAATAGCAGTTTTGCAGCAATTCCTTCATTTGTGCCTAACATTTAAGATTTACACCAGCACTTCCACTTGATTCTGTAACTAAATCTTCAGTTCATTCAACGTTAGAAGCGGTCCTAGAACCACGGGAAAATAAAATCAATGTTGCAGTCAGTGATAAACTCAAATCTCTTAATGCACGCTTGTTTAACGATGGAAAAATCAACCAGTTCGTCATAATTTCATCGCGAAAATATTCCACTGATAATTTTTCTATTCTTCCATTTTTCTATTCTTCCTATTCCACCACAATCAAAACACTTTTTCATTCTTTTATAGATTACAACAATAAATTAAAATGTACATGATCTTGTCGCACTTAACAATGAGATCCATTAGTATTCTAAAAAAAATCCATCATAAACACTGATATAATATAATTATCCTTGTTCTTCGTAGATAAACTTGAGATTTTTTTTTAAGCTCAGATAAAATCGGTTCATGTAATTTTCTACCGGCAATCAATTACAAAAGCAATTTATTAACATAGTAGCATGTAAAGAAGCATTGCCATAATAATAGTAAGTTGATCAGATTTAAACATGTTTCCTCAACAAATTCCTTTAATTTAAATACAATCAGACACTGATATTTGTACCTTTTTTTTGGGTGATCATTGAACAATGTATGAGTACAAGTACGCCAAGAATATATCATATTGAAGTAAAAAAATGACAACAAATTTTCTATCTGATACCGACAGAAATACATGACCCTAAATATTTTGATACAGAAATGACTTAGACCCCATTTAATAGCATTAATATGGGTAACATCGCAACTATCAAAGTCCACAGAAAGTAGAGTAAACCGACAAATCAAAATCTGGTCTTCATCAGGGACTACCCCCTCAATGGTCCTGATATTTCCTTTTAAATGCATGATATTCCCTCACAACATAGAACATGTTTGAATAAATTAGTTGATTTATCAGAATAATTATTAGTTGCACTCTTAATGAGGTATCAAAATAATCAAAGACTTTCATTTTTTTCTCTTTTTACTATTTTAATTAATTTGATGCAATTATACTTTTTATGAACTAAACTAGTTTAAAGAAAATATATTAATTAGTTTTGGAAAAATATTATAGATTTGAATTGATTAAAAACTTGTGTATTAAATTAAAATAAAATTACTTAGCTCAAACAAAAAAAATGTTACTGTATATGTATGAATATGAATAATTGAAGTTAAATTATATATTAAGAGGAGCAAAATTTGAAGCATATATATATATATATATATATATATATATATATATATATATATATATATATATATATATATATATATATATATATATCCTTTTTTTTCTTTTATTCCTGTATTGGACTGAACCATGTCCTCAAACTCAATATATATTGTTCGTGCAATCTTGGTAGATTCTTCATGTATTATCATGATACTTACAAAAAATAATATTGATAATTAAAAAATATTTTAGAATATCTTACATTAGTGAATTTGAAAAAAAAAATAGAACACATAATTTTATTTTATTTTAGTTTCAAATTAAGCAATGCAAAATATATGAAAAATGTTTGTTTTTTTTTTCGTCCTAACTTCAATTTTTTTCAAATTCATTAATCGATAACTTAAAAAAAAACATAAATGTTACGAATTATTTACTTCGAATTGAAAAAACTAACTTGGATACTCCAAAATATTTTTCAGACCATGAAATAAGCAGGGTAATCTTATTTTTTTAGTAACTATGGGGTGAAGAAAAAAGGCCCAAACCCAATACCTCTATTTATTATAATGGGCTGATTAATTTTTTTCCGTTTTCTGCCTTAAACCATGAATAAAACTTCGTAAAGTGGTACATAGTATAATTTTATAGGATGACATTCTTCATTTATATGGTATACTTACTAAAAAACTATTAAATATAATTGATAAATTAATGTTAAAAAATGGTATATTGGACAAAAAAAAATAAGAAACTAAATATAAGTTTTTTATTGGATTAATCTGAGTGAGTCTCAAGTCTTGATTCCATACTTTTTTAGACTTTTGTATTCATAATATATATTTTGAAAAATTAAAGTTTCATTAATCAAAATTCTAAGATTTTTAGTATATTTTTTTACTTTTATTTTTGAATTTTTCAATTCAAAGTAATGAATATTTTTTTGTCTTATTAATCTTAATTGTTTTGTATTTTTTATCCCAAATCTCCAACAACATTTTTTTTTAATTCTTTTTCAATAGAGGGAAATTGGAAAAAATAATATGTAAAGAAGGTTATCCTCATAAAAACAACTTAATGGTTGACGATATTTTCTTATTAACACCTTACATACTTTAAATTTACAATTAAAATTTGGTTTCACACCAATTATTAATATCCAAAATTTGATGTCCCCGCAATGATGCCATAATCATTGCTGCAGAAAACACGATGCTATCCCAATTCCTCTTGTTCTCAAGATCTTTTCCACCAATATTTTCCATCTAATTTCATCTTTCTTGCTTTGTTTTGATATTCGTTCCTTAAAGTTCCTGAAATGACAAAATGTGTTACTATGAAGGTGGATAAATAAGTTGTAATAAGTGAAATATTCTGAATACAAAACACATATTCTTATTAATTACCTGCACAAGGGAACTCTGCAATCATCTGGAGTAGCACATAATCGAGAGTGTAGCTCCAATAATTGCCACATCCTCTTACAATGAACACACCCTCCAGGAACTCTCAACTTACATCCAGCAAAATGACGAACAAGCAACTCTAACCCGTTGCATGCTGAATACTTGCATGGTTGGTTTGCTTGAAGATCTTTATCATGAGGACCAATAGTTCGACAACCATCTTTACATATGTGAACAAGCGCTTCCATAGCCTCATAAAGTTGGAGATATACCTTTCTCTCTTTCATTTTTCTCGTCCTTTCCTTTTTAATCTAAATAACAAGTCAATATAAAAACAATTAGCTAAAGGATTCATCAAATTTTCACCCTGTAAGGCAAGTCAGAATGTTCAAATGAAAACAACTATGAAGATCTAATGAACAGTTTAACTAAAGAGAAAATGATAGTCTTACATTCTCTTCATCGATCATTGACTCTAAAATCTCCTTTTCTAGAGCCGGGTGACTTGACTTCATTGCTTTCCATCCTTCTGACTCTGACACAACTTTGAAGTTTTTGAGTATCTTGCGATGGCAGATGAGACTAAGTCTTGGAGCATCACACAACAAGGCTAGTTGAAATACATCGACCAAGTTATCTATGGTGACTAAACCCAATTCTAACTTTCGTTCACATTCACACTTCAAGTGAGGAACCATGAATGCATGTGACAACACCAACAAATGTAGTACCAATTCATCCATTTCTTCTTTCTCATAACTACGAAACAAATGAAACAAAACTTTAACAAATGTGTATGTATTAATATAAATATAGTAGTATGTCTGCTGTTAATAATATATACAGACATGATAAAAGGATCAAACATACCTATAAGTGTACAAATGTCGAATAAAAACTTGAACTGCTACATGTGGGACCCCATTGATTGAGATTGTTCGCCATCGACCACTTCGATTTGCTTGTTTTAACATCCCTCTCAATACAGGAGAAGCCATGGCCTATTCATATAATATGAATTTAATTAGTGTTTGATCATTTAGCATGTGAAATTGTAGATTGATATGATGTGGTCATGATTAAGGTAAGTTTCTAATGGAGTGGAATGAATGAATGAATGAACTTACAAGAATGTTAGAATGAGCGTAAACAACGCCGCCGTTATCGGTATTAATGCAAACATCTGCTTTATAACCTTGATAAAAAACACGCTCCCACAAATCTTTTGTTGTTGAAGAAATAACGTTATTTTGTCTTCTTGGTTTGAAATTGTTGGATGCCAAACACTCACAAGAACAACCGGTTGTTATTGATCGAGGCATAGATGGCGGCATCGGACATAATTTCTTAGTATTTTGGAGAGACTTAGAATCATTGTCAATCATGTTTGTCATTGTTTCAAGTGTTTCTGTCACATAAACAAATATAAAATATCATTTAGTAATGAGAAACCTAAATTTTAGTACACGAGGATTGATTTTTATTGCTAGGTGTGAACTTGTAAATTTTTCGATTGAGATTAAAAATTACATCAATAACAATATAGCAATAACAATTTGGTAAAAATTAATCTTAAATAAAAGAAAACCAAACAAATGATATATTAAGATCCAGATAATGAAAAGAATGAAGAGAGAAAAGTGAATCGGATTACCTGGTTTCAACTTTAAAGCGTTCCTCTCAATGGTGTTTCAAAAAATAAAAAATCCCAGAGAGGATAAGAAGACAAAGAACGTGTGGAATCACAATCAATTTCTTCAAAAACTTTAATCTTAACTAAAGTTAAAATAAATAATTAAGGTAAAACTCTCCCTTTTCAATTTGTCACCACCCTTTGAAGAACATAAAACAGGAAGAGATAGTGGTGGTGCAAAAGATAAAAGGAGAGCGCGAGGAGGGTGAATTATCAGAGCCTGTCTACAAAATTTGCAGATTTCCATGAAAAAGGAAACAAAAAGCTAAAAAAAACACACCAAATCCACCTGTCACTTTTGTTTTTAGCTAAAAATATCATCAACAAAATTTTGTATGTTTAATAAGACACATAGGTATATTGTTTTTCACAAAATTTATGGTTTCTTTGTGTTATTCTAACAGAATTATTCCCATAATCACGCATGTCATCATCCTTATCATCCCACTTGTCACTCCATGAAATTAGACAATTATTTTCATTTGTCTATGTATTTGTTATTCGCCATCAAATGTTTGACGAGAACAATTCACACATATTTGTGACGGAGAGATAAAATATGTTTATAAAATCTAAATTAAGAAATAATAATAATAATAATAATATATTTTACTAATAATAAAATAACCTTTCTTTTAAATGAATTAATAAAATATTTCAAATGAAATTTATGAATATTTTCTTATATTTTCAATTAGGACGTAGAAAACCAAACAAATCTAAAATATAAAATCCAAAATTGATTTTTTTGTTTAGATTTTGGATTTTTTTTTTAAATTGATCGGTTCTATTTTTTATTTGACAGTTAGAAATTAATCCCAACCGAACGAAACCAAAATTATAATATATATTACTAAAATTAAGATATAATTTATGAGATATATTATTATTTTGTTAACTGAATATGAAAATACGTTGAAAAAAATTAAAACTATAAATATCCCAATTAATTATGTACTATGCTTTTAGAATATGTTTTTTTTATCAAATAATTATTTTCTTATAATATATTTAACGATTTTATAATAAAAAAATCACAAAAATAATTTAAATATTAATATTACAACCCATTTATTTTTAAGAAACTTAATTAATTTCCTTATCCCAATTAGAGTTTTTATTAAAAAGTTCTTTAACTCTCCGCTATTATATTTTCCTTCCCTTACATTACATATTTTCTTTATATTGTATCGAAATAATTGTAATTCAAGGATTGTCATATCTTAGTGCTTATTATATAATTTAATTTCTGTTTCTCTTTAATTAAAATTTGTTAATATTAAAAGACATTTGTATAAAATTTATAGATTTCATCATCAAAAAGATTAATCACTCAAATTAATTAAGAGTACAAAATAAGATATGATTAAATGTGGAAATTGAAATTTAACTCTACACTTAAGTGGACAAAACTTTCACTTAGGCCACAATGACAGATATACTTTTCGCTTAAACTAGATAATACTTTTGCTTAAGCAACCATATATAGTGGATGTATTTTTTTTTTAAGCTAAACAAAACTTTTGTTAAGTTACCCTGCATTGAATTGTAGAAATTATTATTTTTCACTTTTTGCTTATGAATATCTATCACAATTTTTTATTTTTTTTACCACTCATGATTTTCAAACTTACTTTTTGACTCTCCTCTCGCTTCTTTTTATTTAGGACACATTAAATATTGTTTTACCATATTTCTTTTCCATTTTTATTATTAGGCATGTTGATTTGAATGATTTATTTTTATAATAGTTATTTGTCTCGTTAGATTTTTTTAGTTAGAATTATATTTTATTTGGTTGTGAATATAGAGCTTAAAAGAAAAATTTTCTAAAAAAACATTACGAATGAGATAATGAAGAAATATTTACAAAAAGTTATATTTTTATAGCTCTACCATGAGACTTGACATGAAATAATTATTAAAAACAATTCATACCAAAGAGAATTCTAAAATTAGGTAAATGAGAATAAGAAGGGTTCGCATAATGACTAGAAAATGGCCAAAGTGTATTTTCATCCTTCAACATGATAATATTATATATCATTTATAAATTATTGAAACAAATTTCAGCAAGCTATTTATTTTTATCATTTTTTATTTTAGATATAGTTATATTTTTAGGAGTCATTTTAGCTTTAAAACTTTGATATCATATATTTAAAAATGGATAGTTTTGATGCACTAAATAAAATAAAATAAAATCTCAATTTTTAAAGATATTAAACATGCAGAAATCGATCAAATATTTTTTAATATTATATATTTATCATGAAATTACATAAATCAATGCAAATACACATACTAGTAAATTTATGATTTTTTTTTGAGAAATTTTTTTCATTTAAAATTATGAAGAAAAATAAAAACTAATTCAATTAGGTTATTTATATACTAAAATTAATTTATGTATAATTAAAAAATATATTTAATAAAAATAAATAATAAATATTTAATATATTTTTTTCAATTGTTGATGGATAAATTAAGTCTCTCATGAAATTTCATTAAAATCTAAAAATACTATATAATATTATTTAATAAAAAATTAATTAATACTTTATATTTTATAAAAATCGAGAAAAGTATTGTTGTAATTTAAATATTATTTTCATTATTTAATTTTTCTAACATAATTGTATATTTATTAATTAATATTTTACATTATATATTATGCTAGGGATTGTATTTCACTTAAATCAAAACAATAAACGTGTATCATAGTTTAAAATATAACGCTTTAAGTGCCTAATTACTCGTTTAAACAGTTCTTATAGTCGTTTAAACAAGAAGAATTTACGCGTTTAAAACAAAAAATGTTAACTAAGTAAAAAATATATTTTCATTGCCTTTTAAGCGAAATGTTTTTATTTAAGCAAGATTTTGTGATAAAATATTTTTCATTACAAAATGCATCATGAATTAAATACTTTTTGTTTTGTGACCCCGTGTGTTGAATAATTAGTGACATACTATTTTGATTACAAATTTCTATCACTAAAATAAATAAAAGTAAATCTGATTTTTGTGACGATATTTTGTGAGTTAACATGTGATTATCAAAAAATGTATATATTTTTAATTTCATTAGACAATACATCATGTTTTTATAAATTGTCATAATTTATGACAAATTTTCGTCCATCACAAAAATCATATATTTTTTAATTATACAATTTAAAAAATGGTTTATCACCTATTTTATCCCTATGCAAACATAAATTTGTGTATTTACTTTTCTACTTATCTCCCATCCTATTTATTCAGGACTTTTATGTATGGATTTTATAGGTTATAACTTTCAAGATTATTCAAATGAAGGTATAAGTTATAAGATTAAGATTTAGAAGATAATCACAAACTAAGAAAACTAGTTATGGTATAATAGCAATTGTTTTGATTTATAATACTCTCAATTTTGTTTTGATTTAATAATCATTTAATATTCAGGTCATAGTTTTAATAGCATAATGAATATGCTTAACTAAAGGATATAATAAATGATTTCAACCAATCAATATTGATTTTTTTTTTTCATATATGGTTGGTTATGCAACATACCAAGAAAATAAAAAATGGTCCGAACCAAAGTTTTCTTATAAACATGGGTAAAATAAACAAGTTAAAAACATGTTTCTTCAACTAATAATAAGAAGCAGAAGTAGAATGTGGTACAAAGCAAGGTTTTCTTAAACATCATTACAATAAATAAGTTTGAAACATGATTCTTCAAATAGTAATTAAGAAGCAAAAGTTGAGCATTGCTTATCCAGGGTGGAGTATATTGATTCTAAACCCTAAGAAGTTTATAAATTATATTCAGATTTATAAATTAAATAAATAACAGAGTGTATGATATCAAATCTATAACTTTTTATAAGTGAAACATAGACTTTAGTAACGACCTTATAAAAAAAAAACAAAATTAAGGGGAAAATTACTGTTATTTATTTAATTTTTTTATAAGTCAAAAAATGATATTAATTTTTTTTATTAATGATTTATATTGAATTTTTTGATAAGTTTTATTTGACTTGATAGGTTTTATTTGACCTTTTGGTTAAATGTGTTTCTAGGCTTGTGTTTAGATTTTTTTTTTTTATTTCTTTCTCGTACTTTTATGCTTATCTTTGTAACACTTATATATATATATATATATATATATATATATATATATATATATATATATAAAATACTATTTTTAATTATCATTACAATAAATTTTTAATCAAGTGGATGAATATTCAATATTTTTTATTTTTTATTAACTATTTTAATTTTAAAAAATTTAGAGTTATTTTAAAAATTCTTACCTTAATCTATTTAAATACAAATAATAATCAATTCACCTTCTAAATTTAAGAGTTATTTTCATTTAGTTTGAAATGATTTCAAGTACAACCATTCTTTTGGAGAAACATCATGAATATCTCTTATCTTTACAAGAAGGCTTTCTGGCAAGAATGCAGGCCTCAATTGAAAGCCATACTTTTTCTCCTTCCAATGACACTGTAAGCAATTGGAATGCCATCTCACATGAGAATTTATTAAAATAATTAAATAAAAATTCAATAAAATGATAATAAATAGTGAAAAAAAATTCATTTTAAAATGCAATATCACCAATAAAAATATGATATA